TAGTAACCCTGAAATTAGCTACTCAACGCAGTTTAGTAGAGCAAGAGAGTTTAACGGTTTAGATGAAGTGACAATTGATATGTCATATCACATGGCGATTAAACATACACATATAGAAGAAGATAAATATGAGGAGTTAGATTATGAGTGAAAAAACATTATTTGAACAGTTAAACACAATTAACGTATCTGATCATGTTGAAAAGAAGAATGGCTATAACTATTTAGCTTGGACACATGCACATGAACAACTTAAAAATGTTGACCCCAACTATGAAATAAAGATACATGAGTTTCCACACCCGGATATAGCAAATGACCAAGTATTTGTACCTTATCTAGCAACTCCAGAAGGTTATTTTGTAAAAGTATCAATCATATTAAAAGGTATTACCGAATCAGAATGGTTACCAGTATTAGACTTTAAAAACAAGTCGTTAGCGAAAGGGCAAGCAACTACATTCGATATCAATAAAGCTCAAAAACGTTGCTTTGTTAAAGCAGCAGCATTACACGGCTTAGGTCTATACATCTACAACCGTGAAGAATTACCGAATGCTAGTAGTGAAGATGCACAAGAGCTAGAAGATAAGATAGCTGAATTTGTACGCATTTCACAAGAAAAAGGCAGAGATGCAACATTGGAAAAAACAATGCGTTGGTTAGGCATTGAAAATATTAATAAGTTAAGTGGCAAAGGCTTGGCAACAGCAAACGCAAAACTAGATGCAGGATTAAAACAATTAGACAAGGAGAATGAATAATGAATTTAACAATCTTAACGGGACGAATCACAAAAGACTTAGAACTAAAAGATGCAGGTAAAACACAAGTAACAAACTTTTCATTAGCGGTAGATAACCCATTTAAAAAAGATGACGTATCATTCTTCGATATTGTAGCTTTTGGTAAAACAGCAGAACTATTAAATAACTATTGCGGTAAAGGTAGCAAAATTGGCATTGAGGGCAATTTAAAACAAGATCGTTTCGAGGATAAAGAAGGTAACAAACGTTCAGTTGTTAGAGTAATCGCGAATCGTGTTGAATTTTTAGATACAAAAGAACAATCTCAACAGAACGGACAAACTAAACAGCAAGCGTCTGAGAATCCTTTTAATAATGCTAACGGTGGACCAATTGATATTCAAGATGACGATTTACCGTTCTAAGGTGTGATTATATGGCGGTAATAAAAAACTACATCCAACAAAATGATGGCACAATAACTGCCGTCATTGAGGGTGTAACACTTACTAACAAAGACTTTTTACTACTTGATAACGGATTAGAAGTTGAATGCAATGTAGCAGTCGTTGACCCATACAAAATAACTGATAAGCAACGTAGAAAAGTATTCGCTCTTGTGAACGATATAGAAGCTCATACAGGCACGCCACAAGATTATATGAGGAATGTATTCCAAGAATATGTACGTGTGCTATACGGCTACGATGAGCGCATATCACTTGCTGATTGTTCTAGGAAAGTGGCAAGTCAAATTATAGATGTAGCAATTGAATGGATATTCGAGAACAACATCCCGCTCAGATATAAAACAAGTGATCTAATCAAGAATGACAGAACGTTTTTATACATGGCTACTATCAAGAGAAAGTGCGTTATCTGTGGCAAGCATGCAGAGCTAGCACATTATCAAGCAGTAGGTCGTGGACGCAACAGACGCAAGATAGAACATTTTAACAACAAAGTATTAGGACTATGTTCCTTTCATCATAAAGAGCAACACGACATGGGCATGGATAGTTTCAATAAGAAGTATCATTTAGAAAATTCATGGGTGGACGTTGACGAGAGACTAAACAAAATGCTGAAAGGAGTGAAAGTGGATGACGGAACAACCTAACTATTATTCGATAATTCCAGCTCATGTTAGATATGACGTAGACTTAAAACCAATGGAAATTATTATGTACGGTGAACTTACTGCTTTATCAAATAAATATGGATATTCATACGCTGGAAATAGTTACTTTGCTAACTTATATAACGTCCATAAAAAAACAGTGTCGATAT